TAGGCATCAGGCAAGGGGGTGGGTGTTATGCCTATTAATTCATTTACTCTTTATTGACCAAGATGGTCATTTATTTTGTAAGTTTCTACCAGAAGTTGAAGCAAATCATGTAGAACATTAGGAAGAGCATTTACTCAGAAGAAAAACCAAGTGCCTATTTAGGAAATAAATATCTTTTAGTACTATTTTTATCTTACTTGTCATATTTTGACATTATAATACTGCTGCTTGCCCTGTTTGTTAAAAAATGAAATATTTAGATATAGTATGTCTCTGTCTTTTTAATTAAAATTCTGATGACTAGTCTCTAAGAGTTTAATCAAGGAGGAAAAAAGCCTTTATCAATCTATTCTCACTCCCCTTATTTGCACTATGTGCTTATTTATTATCTGTTAGAACATACTTCTCATACAGTTTAAAATGAAAGGATGATCCATCTCCTTGTTACCGACCCTCTGCTTGGTGATGAAAAACAAAACAAAACATATGGACAAAGGAAGAATGCCTTCCTATCATTTCTCAGCCTGGCCTGCCGCTGCTCAGCTGGGATGTTAAAGACTGGGGCTTAATGAAAGAAGGTGAGAAGGTGAAAGAAAAAAAAGCCCTAATGAGCATGTGTTTAGAAATACGGAGAGATCTCTGAGAAGTGGCAGTGATTTTCTTCGTGCCTCATGTAACACAGTATCCCCCAAGGTCTAAGAAGCTCATCATCTTTCCTTCCTCACCCGTCCCTTCATTTCCTACCCTGGCAACCAGCTTCTCCACTTAGAATTGGTTTCATGAGTTTAATTTCAGATAGCGGAGTGAAAAAGAATCTCCTTTTCCGTGACCAACTTGTGGTCTTTGAGAAGGATGCTGGGGGGGTGCAGGGCATTCTTTGGGTTGCTTGCATCATTGGTGGAGCATCCCAGGAGCAGACATTTCAGACCTCATGCTTCGGCTGTCAGCCCCAGCTTGTCTGCAAGCAAACTGACACTTACCCTTTATGGGGAGTGAAGAAGCAATTCCCCCCGAGGAAGGCAGCGCTACTAAAAACCAAAACGCCTGAATGTTTCAAATGAAAGCCAATAACAGCTGTCAAAACTCTAAAAGCAGTGCTCCAAATTAGAACAAAATCTTGTAGTCATAACATCATCCTAAAAATGCCTTTAATCAGCAATCGTTCCAGCTCTGTGAGGTGAGCACCACATTGTAAATACCAAGACCTACGTGAGGGCCAAACTTGGGCCAAAGCCTCAGAACTCTAAAGGAGCTTTTGCTTTGCCAATTCCTAAACCAGTCATTACTCACCATTCCCAACAGACTGCCCTTTGGGGGGTAGGACAGAAGCGCGACAAACAGTGACAAGTAAAGCAAGAAGCCTTGAAGCACAGCTCCATTTGAATCAACAGTGATCTCACGAAAGCAGACTTGCGCCCCTGATGTTCTACGTCCAGTATAACTCTAAACACATTGGCAGTCACGATCTGAGATCATCCTTTGAAGTCGCAAGCCTTAACTGTGTGTGCTCTCACCCTCTACACTTCACTGAGTGAATAACCTAAATTACACAGAACAGCAGTAAATTGGCTCATCATAGCCCTGTTCTAATTTTAAAAGGATAAAGATCTCAAAAACCAGAGAGCCTAGCACTGAAGGAACAAGTGAAGTCTGTTAAGGGGCTGCTGAGGTCTTTTCCCAGAAGGTCATGGATTCCAGTTCAACCTAGGTTTGCAGTGATCAAGGATCATGCAACATTTTGTGTTAAATTTATATGTACCCTCAACCTAATATTCCTAATAGAGACACCGACAGATTGCATTTGTCACTCTCCCTGATTCTCTCGGGAATACAGTGGATGGCCAGCCACATGTGGAAAGTAAACTGTTTTCTCCCATATCGAGGTGATCCTTGCAAAAACTGTGGCATGAAGTTCAAGGCCCTAAAGACCATCTTGTCTTCACACTGTCTGCTGCCTGCTCCTCTTCCAGCTCTCTGAGCTCCAAGAAAAAAGTACAGCAGCTCTCTGACTGTCAGTTTAACACCCTGATAAGTCTGGGACAGATGAAATTTGAAAGGTAGACATTCATACTCATAAGAATAGCATTTCCCAAACAGCATAGTTCTCAGTTTGAACAAAGCATTCACTTGTGGTGATAAAATGCCAGGTCACAAGTCAAATGTTGACTCTATTACTGAGCATTATCCTTGAGCTCTAAATGGAAAGTCAGTACAATTCACCAGCTGTCAGGCTCCAGCTTTCCCCCCACCCTGAACACTAACAGAATAGCAAGCTAAATAGTTATAGCTGCTGGAGTCACTCCTTGATTAGATTCTTAATGACTGACTCAGCCCAGAGATCCCTTCAGCCAGTCAGTCAACAAACAGGCTTTCAACCATTCAGACCCCAGGTTTCTGCTTGGAATTTCATAGGAGTCAGTGAAAGAAAAAAAAAAAAAAAAAGAAAAGCGACCATTAACCCAAAGAGATTTAGGAAGATTTAGAGACAGTCCTAAGCTATCAGGGTCCTTATTAGCAACAAGATAATGAAAATGCTTCCTTTTATAACAAAGAACAAAACTTGGCGTTGGCCGAGTTGAGATACAAGATTTCCGTGAAGTACCTTCCACAGGGTTATAACCGGTTCCCACCTTCACATTGATGTTTACCGGCAAGAGAACAGATGAACATGTAGGAGAATACCTTTATAAGGAGCTCAACCAAAAGGTACTCGTTGCATCCGAGTGGTACTAAATAGCTGTGCCACCCCAGTACTTACACAGCCCAGGAGTGACAGCACCCCGTGCGGAATCCTGTTGCCTGAAAGCACTGAGGAATCCAGCCCCGCCCCCCCCCAACTTGTCCTGCGACTGTCAGATGTCTCTATTAGGAGAGGGTTACCTAGATCCTTTCTTTGAATTCCTAGAGATCCTTTGAGCCTGGAGGGACTCTGCAGTTATTTCTTATCAAGAGTCTGGGAAGTCACAAATTGGCAAATGTTTCCTTCTACGCGGAATGAGAATGAGGGTAAAATCTGAAATAAAGAGGTATTTGACTCCATTAAAGCCCCTCTCCTTCTCCTCCCCTTAAATCTCCAGAAAGCGCTGTCTCTGCGTTGTAGGAGGGCTAGAGCTGAGTAGAGTCTGCCCCTTGGGAGCAGATGTAAGGCCCGGCACAAATCCATCCACCTGCCTGTCGCACTCACTTCTCCACCTATTGGTAGATCTTTACCTATAACCTATTTCATCTACCTTCCTGGTAGAACTTAATGGGTTCAGCTGTGGACTCTGTCTCAAATGCCATTTTGTAAGGGGGAAATGGGAAACACATTCTCTAACCTACGGCAATCCAGGGGATTTTTCAAAGGCTAAACTAACACTCCGCAAGAAGGCCTTCCACGGTTTGGCGTGGCTTTCCAAAGCAGCTTTCAGCCTTCCCTCCTACTTCCAATCTATAGCTTCGGGTTCCCTTTCCTTCCTGGAGGGGCTCACTCTCCCTAATCTTTGTCCTGTGGCCCAAATGGGCCCAGACATATTACCACCGCTCTTGAGCTCTGGACGGGGTCAGAACAGTCAAGGCCGCTACAAGAGGGTTGTTCCGGGTGGTGTCTGGGCTGGACTTTGTGGGAACCCAGCCAGGTGTCCAAGTCGAAAGCCAAGGCGATCGCGAAGTGGAGGGCAGGCTGGGAAGGAGGCACTTGCCCATGGCGGGGCCCTAGGGACGATGTGGCAGGGCTTCATCAGGTGGAAACCTCGAGGTCCTCTCCCGACTTAACTCAGGAAATAAGACGTCCAAATCAGCTCGACCGCCGCAGCCACGACCAGGTCCCGGCCCGGGCGAGGGGGAGGTGAAGCGTTTTCTCCGCCAAAGCCGCGGATGGGGTTTGTTCGTGGGTTCGCAATTCACCATGATAAATGTAAAGACCAATTAAGGTTTGATCCGTGCGCACGGGAGGCAGACGGCGGCGGATCGTGGAACCAATTACCGAGCATGTCCCCTAATTCCTGCCGGGGCCGCCGGGCACACCGCGCATCCCCAGTGGCCAGGGGCGGCCGTCCCCAGCCCCGGGCGCCCCCGCCTCCTCCTGCTCCTGCTC